GGGCGAAAGAGTACTTGTACTTATTTTTTACACGACATGCATATTGCAAGGAATATCATAATATAAATCAATTACAAACAGAGATATGATTTTGAAATTTTCTAGATCTAGATCTAGATTAACTTAAAACACAAGTTACAACACACGTTTTCATTCATGGTGAATACAAGGTTGTGAGTGTTTTGAAACCAATTTTCACTGAATAATACGCTATTTAAGCTTTATCTACTTATCCACCAATTTACTTAACTTTCAGGGTCTTCAGGAAAACGTTAAAAAGCTATTCGTCTGTTTTCTGATTAGTACAGTTTATTGCACACCACTTGCAGTGTGCGTTCTTAGGATCGGCATCAGTCATGTTTGTTTGAGTTTACCAGCGCCGTTCCTGTTGTCAGGGGATTGGTCAGATTCGCGGTCTGGCTCAAGCTGTACTGTCTCGATAACATTGCTAGGTTTCTGCTACAACATAAAGGCCTTGAACATGTAATCTAGCTCTCACTAGCAAAACTGAAGGCAAACGAGACACGGGTAGGCCAACCATCCACGTGTTTTAAATAGTAAAAAAAGAAGAGCATGTCAACACAATAATGGCATATTAATAAAGGGGAAAAGCAAGATGTACAGACAGAAACAACAGGAGGAAAGAAAATAAGTAGCCAATCAGCGTGGATTTGTTGTCGTGTATTCGAACATTTCATATAAAGTGCTCTATAGGATCTCTCAACTGTAAGGTTGTGGGTTCGAAGCTTTTCAATGGCCCGATGTTGTTGTCCTTGAATAAGGCATTTTTCACGAATGTTTCTCACAGAGGATCTTCTCAGTTTATTAGTGTATATTAAGTTTAATTTGGAAATTCTCTGTATGCTTCCGAGGAAGTCGAAAAGGTTTTTGAGTCGTGTTCTAGGGTCTGCAGGTGTAGTGATAGTTGTTAAGCACATAAAAACAGTCCCATCTTGATGTGCTGTATGTAAATGGAATTGTCATTGTTGTTGGTGTTGTTGTTGTTGTTGTTGTTGTTGTTTTTCTTCTTCTTCTTCTTCTTCTTCTTCTTCTTCTTCTTCTTCTTCTTCTTCTTCTTCTT